ATAATCACTGGAACAAGACCTTCATTGATAACCTTGGCTGGGGCCTGTGTTACGCATGTCACCAAATACACTGCCACTACCTTCGATGTTTTCTGGGGTGTATAGCGAATGGAAGAAGATCAAAGGTGGTCAAACTAGGACCTGGTATGAGTTTGCGAAATCCCCTACCGGGGGACTCGGTCAAATTGGCGGCCTGAAGGCTAGGGACACTGAGTGATATGTCTGAGTTTCGACAACAATAGCACTTGTGCATCTACTTGACCTCTTCACATAGATTGTTTAATTGTATTCGGGATCTGTACACTTACTACTTCCAGCTTTCTAATTCTTCTCTCTACTCCTTGATCCGAATAATTAGCCGGAATAGAGCAACCCCATCCCCACGTGAAAGTGCAAGGGATTGGTTGCATGAACGGCATTGAACAGAACATCTGTTCATGTTCATTTCGCCTAAGCAGCTTACAGATTTGATAATATGTGAAGCGCTCATACACGCACACACACTCAAACACCCAACACGCATGATGCACGAACATGTTCATGCCGGCTTTATCCAATTTTTTTGTTTCCTAATTTTTTATATTGTTCCACCTCCTCTCTCCGCGTGAGTTGTTGTTAGGTGGATAGTTATTCGATGACATCTAGTTTTTACAGTGGCATGCGAAGAGTTAATGTAATTCTGGGTCTGAGGTTTGGTTAATTCACGCTGTCGAATTCGGAGGGTTCACGTGATCTGCTTGGGGTGTTATGCCTGGTTTTGACCATCGAATATGTTTCACATTGTTACTGTCGAGGCGCATCAGTTCATACAGTTTGATTCATGCACCAATTGGTTCCTCCCTCCCACCCCCGCCTGCGTCCTTGGATAGACGCGATTAACCTTCATGTGTACGCTATCGGTACGCTTTTGCTCGAGCGAGGCCCTGTGTTACCCCCATGTGATCGCTCGATGCCCGCGCATACATTCTTGACAGTTTTTCTTCCATTGGATTATGTAGCGCAACAAAAGTCCAACGTTTCTCAGTTGCAGTGTGATGATGCCTGCAGTTGGTATACACCTAGGATTTTGTTCACTTTTCTCCTTGACTGACTGATTTCTCGCTGTCACTTTGGATGTGTGCACGCGCGTCTGTGCCTGCGTGTGTTAGATGCACGTGTATTACGTCAGACTCACATACACACACACACACACAGCTCATTGATTAAATCCTAATGACGTGCCTGCGTTCATTATATTGAAACCCGTTTCACACGGATGGATACAAGTGTGCGTAAATTTGCCATCTCCTAGTAAAGCAATGGTGGCTGACCTAATGGTAGTTATTCCGTAGCTAATCGCTCGGCATCATGATTGTCATTCACGTATTTACGTACAGTAATTCGCCGCGCACAGTAGTGTCATGATAAGTATGGTTTGTGCTTACAGATATGTTTCCCAGGGTTTCCTCAACTGGACGAAATACTGATTTCTGTTTGGTGTCTGATTTTCTCTTCTCCTTTCACTGCTTACGATACTCTTGGGACCTTCCAGACATTATCACCTTCTTCCTCCTATGGGAATACTACCTACTCGTTTCACGTTTACAAGCCGCTCGCATTGAGTCGTTGACATCTTCCTTTTTTTATTACACACTGCAACCAAAACCGGCGCACGGCAGTGCATGGTTAATGATTGTCAACACTGAACTGAACTAAACAGAGTTATTTATTGTCGGTCAGAAGCAGATCGAGCGGAACACAAAGATCCCTGTCTATGCATTACTGCCTGATTGAAGCGTCGCACGGATTTGAGCTGTATGTAAGAGGTCCGTGGATGTAAAGAAGCGTCTGGCGCGAAATAGAAACCCGAATTTGTGCGCAAAGTAATAAGCAATTGGAAAGATGACAGGAGACCTGCAGGACATGTTTAGGACAGACTGAAACAAGAAAACCACTTCACAAGCACTGATGATGTCACCTCGGCTGGTGATGAAACGTTTGTAAACAAATTGCCAAGCTCCGCGAACAGGCGAAATGGAATTCAGTTCACCCGAGCTACGAGAACCGATTTTCAATATTTTGTCAACAAGAAAACCTTTTTAAGCATTGAAACAAACGTAGTTAATAATGTAAATAAGTAAATGTTTTTACTTCCTTTTTCTATTTATGGAGTATACAAATGTACAGTCAACTTTCAACTGCGGCCATACAAAGGCTACCTGGGGAAAATACAGATATAGAGAAGACGGGCGGCGGTGGAGCGGATTGAACCGGGGACATTTAGGTCACTAGTTGGTGACCTAACCACTTGACCACCGCCGCCCAACCTCATGCAGAGATGTGTCTGAGGGCAGAGGCGAGAGACGCACTGCTCACATTTCGATCATGACCGATGTTGCTAGTAGTTTGGTAGATCGCGGGGTAGAAAAAAGAGCGACGGAGAGTACCATCATTGGTCGTACAATCAAGAGAACTGGAAGTTTGGGGCTAAAGAACGTTAATAAATAGAATGAAGAGAGTGGGCGCAAGTGTGGAACCTTATGGATTACCGGCGTTCGTAAGGAACGACCGAGATGGGACTCCGCTGACTCGAAGGTGATGGTTCATTTTTGTGGAATTATTGTAGCCACGGTACGACAGACGGATGAGGTCCAGATGCGAATAAGTTCAACAGCAAACCTTCATGCCAAACGCAGTCGAAGGTTTTTGAAATGTTGTTCCCTCTCTCTTTCCAAACTTGCCCTATCACTTTTTTCACTATCTTTTTCCAGGCGATGTTTTTCTGGCTTCCCGATTGGATCGGGAATCGATCGATCGATATCAATTACTCGTTCGTGCAACCGATGGAGGTCACCTGTTCGATCATCTTTTGCTCGAGCTTCTGATCACTGATGACAATGACAATTGGCCAGTTATGATGCAAAACAATTACGAGGTAATCGCGGTTGCTCTGCGGAATGTTCACTCCACGCGGTCGGTATTTCTGTTCTCCCTAATCGTTAACTTGCTTTCATGTGTTCTCAATGGACATCGCTTATCCATCGCGCGTAACGGCGGCGAACGTATAACTGGTTGCCCATAGCGACAACATATTGATTACTGTCATTATGAGCCTTGTGAGAAAGTAGTCACGGTAGCCAGGTGTCCCGTGGGCTTTTTTTATACAACCTCATTCCCATTTCATCTATTTGTGGATATTTCTTTGGAAAATTAGCTCAACGTCATAAATAAGATAACCCTAACAGATGCTTTTCTTGATAATATTTGCCATTTGGTCACTTGTTTTCGTTCACCATAAATGCGGGTTTCAAAACCAACAGATTGCTTTCCTCTCATGTGAATATCCCCCTTTGTTCGGATGGTGTGTCCACATTATCGGGTGTTTGAGTAATCAAATACCAACTTGTTGATTAGTTAGCTATAGATGTCCGAATATGTATACCGTATTTTCCTTTTTTCCTGTTATTCAGCCTAATTATTCGATTCTCCAATCCTCTTCCANCCAATGATTACCACTGAATGCGCAGCACTATGCTCCCTGATTTTTCCTCGTATGGCTAGAAACCGTTGTTCATGAAGGTCCATTATTTGAGACTGTTCGTGTCTGTCTGTCTGTCTCGCTTGTTAAAAATTCATAAAATCCCGGAATTAAAATCTCTCTGCAGTGTTGTGTTCTTTCCCCTCAAATAAGTCAATAATTTTTTTGGTATTCCTGTCATAGATTACCCTATTCCCACACGAGTACAATGCCAGTCTCGTGCCGGAATTTCCCGTCCGAACGAGTCTGTTTGTCAAAGCGACCGATGCAGATTTACCCGAGAACTCCCATCTGGTCTATCGCATCTTCCATCCGCCCAGTCATGCGAATCGTGCCACAGAATCACTGAGCCAGACATTCACCGTGGATCCGCAATCCGGTCAGCTTATTGTTCAACACGCCATCACTCGAGCCGATCTAGACGAATGGCAATTGTTTGTGGAAGCTTGTGATTCTCTGAACACCGGTCTCTCGTCGACGCATTGCTCCAGTCCTGCCAAGGTGCACATTCGTTTGGCCGCTCGTGAACCACCCAATCTACCGCGGATTCATTGTACTGCCGGTTCTGTTTTGGAGGTGTGTTCAACTTGTTTATTGTCTGTCTTGACTACTTTTTGCCCGTAATCTCGTTTTGACTTCGAGTACTTGTCGGAACGGAAATCGGTTCAACTTTGTCGGAATGCTTGCCGTGTGCGTGTGCTGTTCTATTCACTGCACTTTTTTTTACTCTTCCGTGGGTACTGTTTGATCATATTTCGATATCCTCTTATTCCTCAGTTTTGTTATTTTGTGAAAATATAAGCTCCAATAGTACCGGGTATTGGTTTCTATGTTTGACCTCGGAGCGACGCGAATCGTATTGTGTTAAGTGCACACTACTATCGAGTGACGCAAATACAACAGCAACGAACAACAAGAAGAGCAGAAACAAAAAAAATAAGAAATAGTAATACTGATGCTGCAGATGGTATACATTACTGGATTCTGAACTAAACAGGCTTGCGTGCTTGATCCACCAAAGGTCTCGTTTAGTTCGAGGGATTTTGATCTGATACACCCAGTGTGAATATATCCCAAATCTGATTTCGTCTTCTTACTGTATCCATTGCCTGTTGTACTCGTTTCGTCCGTATTATTTGTGTTAACCGTTCCGTGGATGGGATCCCTTGTTCCCTTCCCCAAGCTTCATTCACCCTTTCATGCGAAACTATTTTGTTCTGTCCAATTCGACTGGAATCGATACCCCACACTTGCTTGATTCATTGCCCACTTGTCTGCTGTTTTCGGACTCTCAGTCGCTTCGCACTCATCCAGTGACTCAACTTATTCCCCCGGTGGTCTTAAGCAAACTGTGCGCGGCCTCATTTGTTGTTGTTATTTCTTATTGTCTTGATCATACCCATGAGATCTTTCAAGTCTCTTCTTGTTGTGTTTGCTGCCATCTTCACTTCTAATTAAATTGTTGACCTGGTTTCGATTGACTCGATAAACAAGTTGAAAAGCTGTTCATAGACTGTGTGTGTGTGTGTGTTTGTGCATAATCAGCATCTTCGCCGTCGAATCGATTTTATGACCGAACACGTGCTATCCACTTGGCTCGTCCTACTTCTCCACCTCCACCTATTCCCCAGTTCTTTATCCACTTGTTTCGGGCTTCCGCAACTTCGCTCTAGTGCATGATCCCCGGCAGTCTAACTGGTGAACNTGGTCTTTGAATCGCTTTACTCGCCATCTTTCGCTATTTCTCCCTCCCTCCCTGCCTCGCTCACTCTCCCGCGATCTATTCGGTTTTAGGATAGAGTTTAAATACACTCGAGTCCTCGGTCGGTATGCCAGTATGCACATATATGTGGGTGCCAACTGATCACCGCTGCCACCCGCCAAACATCCAATATCCGTCACCTGCCAGGATCATCGGTCTCACTTATTCACTACACTCGATTCACATCCTTTCTGGTGGTTATATATAAATTTTTGCTTTTCAAAACAAATTAGCCAAGCAGACGGGGAAAACACTCGCCGAGTGATTCATCGCTTCTCTACTAACTTGTCCCACTCCCGATACATACGAGTTAGTCTCATATTCCTGGCTCTGTTGCAGCAAGTTTGCGACCACTGTCAGGTGCCAAATGCAAATGTTCAGAGTATAAATGTGTGTTGTAGTGCGCACCTGGTTTCGCTCTACGTTTCCCACCACTCAGTTCGAGGGATTTTCACTAGCCACTTACCACGAGGAGAATTATCTGGTTGCTTGCCTCTTTAGTCTGACATTTGTTTGTCTTCGAATTTCGAAAGTTGAATTTTGTGATGTACTATATCTACTACCGAACAAAAATGCTAATACTCGTATGCACACAGTTCTGAAACGGTTCTGTGGTTTCTAGCAGAAGTGTGATTGATTGTTTTCTTCCTCTATTAGGGCTCACCCGACTCTGATGTCGGTTTGATCAGTGATCTGTTTAGAGCTCACATGGGATGATTTTTGAATGCATCCATTACCCTCACTGTTTTTTTTCGTGCACCGTTAGGATGATCGGGTCTCTGATCGGGAGGTGGCTTTATGTCAAGTTCAACCCACCAATTTGACTGGGGACTGGATGTTGACGAGCGTGACCGTGTTGCACACGGGGCAGCATGTGTCCGCGTTTCGCTTGGATCGTCATACGGGCCGAGTGTTCACAACCCGACCGCTGGACTATGAAGTTGCATCTGCCTATCGTTTGCGTGTTCAGTTCCGATTAGCCAACTTCAAACCAGTCGTTTTGGCCCACACCGAATTCGTTGTACAATTGGTGGACGTGAATGACTGCACACCGCATCTGGATTCCCCCATGTGAGTTTGTCTGTCTGTCTGTCTATCTATCTATCTATCTATCTATCTGCACTATCCGAGTTCATTTGTCTCATTGTTTTATAGTAGTTCGTTGTGCCATCGGACGACCAACGTTTTTAAGAAGTTGTAAAAATGTTTATGTTCACCTGACCCATTACCTTCAATCTTTACTTATCATCATTATTTCATTGCACCTAGATTTGAAATTCCACCTGGTGGTCAGTTTTGGCTGGCTGTCCAGATTGGCTTGTTTCACGCTGTGGTTTCATGTACTACCTTGACCTTCGTTGCTCACAAAAAATGATTGCCAATGGATGCATAGTGTGTGTGTGTGTGTGTGTGTGTGTGTGTGTGTGTGTGTGTGTGTGTGT